AGGACAACATTTATAACAGTACTTGAGTCCTCTGATTAGCAGCCTGACCTCAATGTGAATTAATAAAACACAGACCACCCTGATCACTTTCCCACACAACATATGAGAATGCAAGGTTGCTTAAAGTACTTGATGTCCTGCTAATAATACATCTAATGTGTGCACTGTCTTGTGGTATTATCATGGTGGACTAAGCTGCTACACAGTGAGCTCAGGGGTCCATCTATCTTTTTGTGTCTGTGGGCTTCTCTGTCTTGTTTCTTGTGGTTTTTCTCTGAGATGCTAACGAAGAAGTTTTAACTACCACCGAGGCCTGAAGCTCCGGAAACAGACACAGTCTGATACAATTTAAACATGGGTATACTTTCAGAAATATTCTGTAAATGTTTGTTCACACTCACTGCTGCAAACTTTAGCCTGAAGGAAGGTCAAATTAATTATCTTTCTCCTTCCTGGGTTTTGTGATGACAGCATATGTTGCCACTGAAACATAATAAAATAAACACAGAAAGACACAGAAAGACAATTATTTACAAAACTAACATAAATGAAGCTGCTTCCAAAGTGAATTACATTATTTCAATAAATTCTAATAATAAATTAATAAATCTATTAATATAAGTATGACAATATCAGTGAAATAATGTGCATTATAAAACCGGTAGCTCAAATCATGCAATCTGATTGGTTCATAGCAGTGATGAATTCCTTTGCACAGATCTGTATCACTCCGCACAAACAGGGTTCGAGTTATAATCTCTAGCCTATAATCTCATCAGCCAATGAGAGAGAAATTGCTTTTACGCGATTCAACATTTCACACACTCAAACACACAGCAGTCCACTACTTGCACCAGATATCTGCGATATTGCAACAAAGATTAGGCAAAGTTTCAATAGCCTGCTCAAGGACAGACTCAATTCCACCCTTTATGATAGGTATAATATTAAAGTGTTGTTATTTTACGCACTGCTTGCCGCCGGCACAAGAGAGCGAGCATATTATAAGTTACCAAAGTCGATCTACTGAAGCTGGACAGTTTCTAGTGGCTGCACAATAAACGGCAACGTGCATAAATAAATAGTTCTAATAATTCCTTTGATGTATGTTGCTTACAACAGTCATAGCCCACCGGCAGCCTGGTGGAACTACATTTTGTATTCATAAAGAAATGTCTATTGATGAAATAAAACAAAGTCAAATTGTAGTGCTTCTGTTAACCTACTTTCTTTTGCCACACTTGGTAACAGTTTTATAAAAGCAATAGCTCCCTTCAGGCTAACGCCCCTTAACTGTGATATAATAAGATAATACCACGGCCTGTCGTGAGCAATTGTTTTATTATTTTAATACACTTTTTTTAATCACTGTGCTGTTTCTGGTTCTCATGTACTTCTGTAGTCTCCTAACACCATGAAGGTCCAATATTTATTTATTTATTTATATTTATATAATATTTGCAATTTGTTGTCTAATGGACCCCAGCTGTGAAAAAGATGGATAAATGTAATGGATTTTCTAACTGTATGCTTTGAAATCCTTCCTGATTCCCAAATATGTATAACCGTCCACACATACACAAATTTTTGTGTTTACATGAAAATCACACATGACATTCAGTGACCTCCCCCCTCTATTCCCTGGACTTTATACATGACTGGCTACAAATGAACAGAAATAGTCCCTCTTTTGTTGTCTGTTGTTTGTAATCTGTCCCACAAAGCCTTGCTCTGCAGGTGGGTGGTAGATTCCAAATGTGGGGCCTGCCTGTATTCTTAAAGCACCACCATGTATAATTGTGCCTGACGTACCCACAGCTATTAAACTCTTTCCCCATCAAAACCATGGACGCTCACAGTTGGGAGTGTTGACAAGTCAGTCTGTATAATGATGTTATACTAAATGTCCAATATTAATGTTTTTGTATTAATTTGAATGGCCAGGATAACTTACATCTAAAAGTTATAAACACCAGTATGAGAATGTTTTACACCTCAGCAGACAGCTAGCTGGAACACCCACATCCTGTATGCGAAAACAACTTCAGCAGCTACACATCAGCATTGCGTGTTACATTTCTGTATCTAAGTAATAAGTGATGAAGAAGAGTCAAATACGGATCATGGCGGACGCAGGATCACTCATGACAGCGGATGTGACACTCAAAAGATTCAACTGTGTAAAATGTATTCAATACATGGAAGGAGCTCACGTAGCGTTAGCTGAGGGGGCTAATATGATTGCGTTACAGTGTTGCATGGAGTGTTTTGGAAGGTGGATAATTAATTACAGTCTGTAGTCTGAGCTGCTTAAAATACAGTTTGAATCAATTTTTTGGTGTGGAAGCAAAAACTTAGTTATGTTGGAAGGAGTTTAGTGTTCCTCACCTGTTGTAGAGAAGAGCAAGACTGGAAGGAGGAAGGACAGATTGGGGAACCTGTTTGAAAAAAAAAAATCAAACAACAAAACCAACATTAGTTCATAGTAACGACCAGCAGGAATCACCAGAACTGGAGCTCATTGGCATTTTTTTTTCTCTTAACACTTGATTGTGTTTTGTCACAGTCGTCACATTCTACCATTAAGAGCCCACTTCTAGCAAACTTTGTGCCAGTAATGTAAGTTTTTCATGTTTATTCTCGTTACCTGAGATGACTTCTACAAGCAGTAATCCCACTAAATGCAGCAGAGCCATCAAGAAAACACTGACACCAACACAGATCAGCAGAGTGAGCTGAGAGGCTGATGGGGGGCCATTACCAAATAATAATATACTTGAAGTATATTTAAGTAAAGTTCAAGTATATTTTACATACTAAGTATACTTACCTCAAAATACTAGAAGCATACTTGTAAGTGTACTTACATTTTAATACTTCTCAGGGCTAAATTGGCCCAGTATATTTAAAATTTACGTTTATTTATACTTAAAGTGTAAGAGTAGTAAACTAGTACACAACTAATTTACATCAAGTTTTATTTTGTACTGCAACTATACTATGAACTATAATACAAGTAACTTATAGAAGTTCTGCTAGTTTACTAGTTAAAAACTTCTAGCCTAGTTTTTTAGTTTATAAAAGTACACTTAAGTATACTACTAAGTAAACTTGTTCAATAGTTTTATACTGAAAGAAAACTTACATGTATACTTAAAGTGAACTTAACATCGGACTCTGTCATTTAGACTATTCTGTTTGCAAAGTAGAGCAAGAGAAAGTTATAAGGAGCATGGCAAGTGCTGTCATCAAAATCCTGAAACGTCACTACAAACAGCTGAGTGCAAGGGAGGTTTCCACGCAGACGTTTTCTGGTATTTTCAGTAACTTACAAAAACCTCACAAATCACAGCAAACGCATTCCTCTTCGACAGAGAGGCAAGACATTATGGTAATAAAGAAAGCAACTTAAAAACAACACCATGAGGCCACCACCGGCCAGCTACGGCGCACACACTGTTTAATACCCACAAGAACATCCGTAATATCAAATAGGTGGTCAGCAGCGACCTGACCCAGCCTTTAAAACAGCAGCACAGCAGCTACATCAAATGAAAAAGCACTTATACTCACCTGTTTGAATGGCATCCACAAAGCTTGCATTGAGCAAAATCTTTGACAATGCAGTACAGTATATTGGTCAAGTTAATAGCCCAAGCTATGCATATCAAAGATGTTTGTTTATGCTGTGCATTTTTATATGTAAAAATATGAATCTAATCTTATACAATTATTTGATTTTTTAACATACTCTGCACTCAGTACAATGTTTAGCTTCCTGAGCAGACTTGTCGCTCTTTATACTATGTAACCTGGCATATAATGCTTGGAACATTGAAAAGTGACGCTAAAGGGGTACCCAGTGCGTTAAAAAGCGACACCAAGGGGTCTTGTGGAGAAAACAGACTTTCAGACAGAAATATGTGGCCCATGCAGGACTAGATAGAAATGGCTCATTCTAAAGTAATAAAATTATGTAAGGTCTTTATACACCACTGAAAACACAGTTGTATATATTGCATTTGTCAATAGATCCTCCGAACTATTACACACTGGACCTTTAAAAGTTACTAAAGTAAAATAATGTAGCAGTCCTGACTGTGCTTGTATGACATCCTCCATGTGTACACCTAGCAGATATGGACATACAAGCTTAAATAATGTATTTCCTCCTGCTTTCACCTTCAGTCAGGTGTCGTGCTCACAGTGACCTGTAAACACACAGGATATACACAAACTGTACCCTAAAAATTACGATTGTGCATGCTTTATCTTAAACTCCAAAAAGTAAACACCCTTCTCTACAAAGAATATGGTACAAAAACACACTGCTAGCTAGTATCACCAAAGTCTTGCTAAAAGGGGCTCTATGTAAGTTTTTCAATGAAATTAATCAAATTTTCTTTGCCTTATTGTCAATGGGCTCAAAACACATTTAGAAATGAAGCACACGCTTGTTTTCTCCGTTGCTTGCATCAGTCACTAGTCTGCATTTAATGTGGGGACACCGGGTCGGATTCAGCTGTCTGCGCGCTCCTGAGCCTCTCTCTGACTACAGCGACAACACGGCAGCTAACGACATGCAGCTCTAACACCATAAAAACAACTGGCTCACAGCAAAATACAGGCTCCACGTAAGGATGCAAAGCAATAAAGTTTTATATGCTGAAGCCCATCAGACCAAACAGGTTCAGATGATGTCGAGTAAGAACAAAGTGAGCCTTAGTAAAGAAAGAGAAGAGAAACGGAGAAAGTCACCTTAGCTCGGGTTTGTGATGACAGCATATGTGGTCCCTGAATGCACTATTATTCTTTACTGACAAAAATTCAGCTATATTTTTTTGGTAGCACAACATTAACACAAGGTTACTGCATGACTCTGGTACAGGTGATCGCGGGTTTGATTCCCGGTCAGGACAGGGTATCAAGTCTGACCCTTAGGCAACGTCCTTAATGTTACTTGCCTACCTCAGACATGAGTGAAACTGCAATTATAAGAGTCACACCAGCTCGAACGTCGCCTGGATCAACAAGGCGCACGTCAGGTGCTGGGGAACCAGGGCAACCTGATGAGAAATCAGCGATGAGATGTCTTCATCATCCCCACACTCCGAGATTGGGTCCCAAGCCCCACTATCAACAAACCCTTATGGCACACACTCATTTAACACAAGGGTGACTGACCTGAGATTGAAGATCATGACCAAACTGGTGATGAAGATTGCCAAAACAAAGTACCTTCTGAAAGTCTAGAAGATTTAAATGCAGCACTACATAACATCTCCACTAAAGCCATAACCGAGACAAGTGAGCTGACTCGCTTGGCTTGGCTATAAGATAAGAAGCAAAGGCCAAGAGAATAACCCGGATGTTCTCCACCGAAGCGTCCAAAGTGTACTCTCACTGGCAGGGTAGTAACACAAGGCTAAGAACAAACAGTACTGGAAGAACATACAGGAGACAATCCCACTACCGGCCAACATAGTAGTAGTTGGAAGACACCTTGTAAGACCAAGCTGAGGTCCAGAAGGACTTCAAGAACCAGACTGACAAACTGATGACGGCTTACCAACCAGTTATTTTGATGATCGATAAACAGCCGAAGAAGGCTGCAGTGAAGATGTAGCAATCCCAAGCAACATCAACATCAAAAAGAAGGAACACGAGAAGTCTGAAAAATGCCAAGCATTAAAAGAGAAGCTGGAAAAAATGGATAGTAAATGCAACAGTGGTGACAGTAGTAATAGGAGCACTGGGGGACTGTGACCCCCAAACAGGGGCAGTGGCTCCAGCAGATTCCAGGTACAACGTCTGAAATCTCTGTCCAGAAGAGTGTAGTCCTACGATACTGTAGAGCACCATCAAACTCCCAAGCCTCTGTTAGAGGACTCAGCACAATCTTGACCTCCTGTGCAGACTTTGTCCTCTCTTAACACTATGTCACCTGGCATATAATGCTTTTAACACTGAAAAGTGAAGCTAAAGGGTCCCCAGTACGTGACACCAAGGGGTCGTTTCACTAGTAAGGACCACAATCAACAGATACGATTAAATGATTTACTGATGAACAAACGATGTATGATGCTTGCAGTAGCTGAATAGACATTCGAAAGCATTGTGGGGAAGCTATGATAGGGAAATCCGCCGTAGTGCCCGGGCATGATGGACCCCCATATAAGCCTATGTAGAGGAAGAAGGCGATGAGGAGACCGGACAGAGAAAAAGGTGCAGAATGCGAGAGCGAAGAAGAGGAAGTGTGATGTGTGGCTATTTATGGAAATGCCGGTAGTGACGTCATTGATGTGTGGTCCCCCTCCTGAAACTCTGCTGGTAGCACCACCCTCTAGCGTCTATATTTGACAACTTGGGAGTGAACACATGTTGACAGGGCACATATCCTCCATTGTCATTAAACATTGGCACTGGATGTAAATTGTGAGTTATGGAAATGTAGTAATCCCTGGCTGTTAAAATATAAAGACAGGCTCAAATAGTGAGCTTGGTAGATTAAACTCTGGCTAGTCCCTTCTCCCTCTGATCATTTCTAAAATGACAATATACCATGTTTGGTGTTACCTACCTGTTTGTGGAGGAGAAGGCTTTGCAAATGAGGGAGGAGAGGTTGAAGCACTTCCTTGAAATAAGAAAATACCACAATAAAGTGTGTTTACAGGGTGACGGTCCATCAGGCATCGCTATATAAGCAATTACATTCTGGCACTAGCAATAATCTTAGTTTCTAAAATGTAATGGATGGATGCGAAACTTAACACATGCTGAAATTTTAATAAACTTGTTTACCAAACAGCCTACTTAAAACAGGGTTTCAGTCACTTAAACAAGTATTAGTATGTTATGTACCTTTGTGCTTCATGGAGCAAAGCCCCACTACCAAAAGTAGAAAAGTCACGAGTACAACAGGGACAACTATCCAAAGCAGGTTGAAGACATGAGGAGAAAAATAAGTCTGTTCTTGGTTTGCTGGGAAAAAAAACACATTAAGCAGGTGATGTAACAATATGAAACATGGGATCCGAATGCTGTAGTCTCAAAGACACTGACGTGATAATTAGCACAAAACACAGCAGGACTAAGGCTGATGGGAATGTCATTAGTTTTGCCCTTAGTTGCCTCCTTCGGTCCAGACGCCATGGAGGTGGCAGATTAGAAAATGTGTCTCACCTCTGACAGCCAGCCGGCTCTCTGGCGATTCTCCAGCTCCAAAGATGTCACACTTGTAGAGTCCTTCATCAGACTTGGAAACATTGATGGTCATCTCTCCTGTAGAGCTGTTCCCGATGAGGAGGCCATCTTTATAGAAATGAGCATCAAGGCTGGACATTTTCTTTTGTCTGCAACTCAGGGTCACAGCTTCTCCCTCCATCACAGGAAGCACGGGACTCTCCAGGATCACAGGCCCAGCTGTTCAACAATGGAAGTTCAGAAATATTTTATGTTGAATGTAATTATGTATATGTTAATGTAACTAATAGTATTGCTGACAAGAAAAAAAAATATATAAATCATGTGACAATAATTGTTACCATGTGACTGTAGATTTAAGAGTTTAAATAAAGAAATTGTCACATTTTCAAATACTGGCATGCCAGGCACTATTTCCAGCCCAGAACCCCTAGGAATGTGGTTCATATTGGACAATTTCATATATATTTCATAGTCAAAGTTACCAATATAATGAGTGTTTAAATGTCAAGCAGGTATTGTGGATATTTTCCCAAACAATAAATCCCACATTGCAGAATCCATGATATCTCGACACGTTTAAATTAAATTTTATACAATTTAGGAAACAGCTTATATATCACATGCTATACTTTGCCTATGTGTTTAAATTTCCTATACCAGTCTGCTTGGGACAAACTAAAAAGACAGCTCAGTAGCGAAGAGTTGGGCTGTGCTGCAGGATGGTTTCAGAGTTGTCTTTGAGTTTTCTCTGAAGTTTGCTATATTTTATTGGGCTCCATAAAACATATTCTATCAATAAAATGATTTATAAAATTATATGTTTAAGGTGTTTTGGTAAGTAGATTGAACATACCTGTCACTACAATTCTGACGATGTTGCTTTTCTTTTCCTTAGCATCACACCAGTACTCTCCAGTGTCACTTGAAAAAGCATTTGTAATGTTGCAGGATCCTGTTATCTCCCATTTATTGTTACATGTAATATTTCTTCCTTTGATTCTCCTAAACACTCTCCATTCAGTCAGATCATTTAAAGAGCCCTCACAGTTTACAGAGACAGACTCATATTCAAAGAACTGCAGCCGGGATGGAATGATATGCGGAAAAGTTGCATCTGAGAAAGAAAAAAAAGAGACCAAAATATGAAGTTGTTTCGTTTCCAAATTAAATATGTACCATTCTAATAAAAACATTTTACTACATGACAAAATGTTTTGTGTATCAGTACAGAAAGTAACTTGTTTTTCAGACTTTAAAATTGCACATCCAGTCTTTTGGAAACATGGAAACAACTGACTTACCAGCTCTGAGAGAACAGCTGTACTGAACTTGTGCAGGCAACAACAGCAGCACATTTATCACTGGAGAGACAAGAGATCTACAGTTCAGACACTGATGCTTTTTATGCAGATTAATGTGTGTTGGTAAAAAAAAAAAAAAAAAACAACTCGTGAAGATGGCGCCGCACACGGCCGCCTCGGGATTACGCAAATCAGTACAGAGTGATACTATTACACAGTAGAAGCGGCATTTCAGAACGATGGCATGTAATACTTAGTTTGTCCTCTTAGGGGACACTGGTTCCACGACAGAACAATTGACCCTTAACATTAAATTTGAGCTGGAAAATCCATTAAGTAGCATTTCTGGGGGAGTATAAGAAGTGTTGGGAATAAAGCATTGGTTAAAAACATCACTCAAACAAATGTCAGGAACCATTGCTGAAAATTAAAGAGCACTGCAAAATTAACTTAAATGGATTCTTCTTTTCAATAGCAACAACACAGTAATATAACTACTCTAATGCAGTGGAGAGACCTGCTAAGTAACTTAACAAAGATTATTTAATTAATCAAGGTAATGGCAAATTATGAGGAATGTGGACTGTCCTCCTCTGGTGTTCTGGAGTTTCTCACACCTGGGTGTGACAAAGGGAGAGGGCATGTTAAGAGTCCATGTTAATGGCTCTTTGGCTGGGGTTTTGGGGTACTTCCGCTGTCTGTTGAGGGTTGATATCTCAACCCCCCCCTCTTTCTCTCAGGGAGAGAAAAAGTTTAAAATTTATTTGATATAAAATGAACAAATCCATACTGGCTGATCACTACAGAGGCTACACGTTACTCTGTATGAATGGTTACTTTTTAAGTTGTCCTTATGTTAAAGGTTTTGGCAAGTTATAAAAAATCTTGTGAATTGTTGTGACAAGGTTTTTATAAGGCCTTTTCAGACGGCTTTGATCCGCGGGATCGCTCTGCGCTCCTCATCAACAGACAGGTAACCATGGCAGCGGCTTCTGTGTAACTGGCGCGATCCCGTGAAACTGCTGCAGTCATTCTCTGTAGTCTCACGCACAAGCCCGCTCGCTGCCAGAGTTGAAATGTCCCACTGCAACACATCCACCAAAGAAGTTATTGTCATGGGTCCTGCTTTACCATCCATGTTATAATAGAGCTGCCGCCAGTTTGCCGCCAGTGTGGGGGGATCTCAGTATATTTTCCTGCTTTTCTGCCCTTGGTGCACAGTGTGTGTGTGTGAGAAGGGAAGGGGCAAGTAGTGGTTGTTAGTGATCGCAACCTACCATATCTTCTAGCACGGTGGCTCAGAGTGTTTATTTAAAAATGGTATAGGTGTAGGAAGAGGGATCTGCATTTAATTGCAGAGCATTACTGTATAATGTCGTCCTCGCTCCTCAGCTGAAAGCTGCTGTTTTAAAAAGCTTGGTTGGTCAGGGAGTGCTTGTAGCGCCTGGGCCGGAGAGCAGCTCAGATGCAGGTGGCAGGTGTTCCTCTCTGTTGTCCAAATCATTCGTTGACTCTCCTCTTGTCTGGGCGTCATGTCGTTGTCTTCTGCTGTCCGTCACAAACTGAGACACTGTTCCTGCATCTAAATATTGTTTTTCAGTGTCCTCTTGTCTCTGTGGGAGAATATTGTTGGTTTCTCCTTCTGTCCTGAGCTTCTCTCTGTTTTTCTCCTCCTCTATTTGACATAAAGGTCCTGTTTCTTCACTGAAACATTCAATGTGATTTTCTTCTTCCACCTTGTTCTGATTCTTCACTGTTTCAGTTTTTGCTGTGAGTTTCTCTCGACCTGTTTCTCTTTCCATCAAACACTCCTGTTCTGAATCTTTGCTCTTCGTCTCTCTGTGTATCTGTGTTTCTTCATCCTCATGGAGCTTCTTGGTGTCTGCGTGCAGAAACAACAACAAACAAACTATTAAGTTTTTCCAAGACAAATAGAAAAAAAATAACATCTCTCGTTTTAACAGATATATAAATACATGCATTAATTATTTATTTCTTACCAGTGAATACAAACATTAAATGAGGAGTACTTTAATAATGCACGTCACATATTGCAGATGACCTGACCATAATCTTTCTGGCCCGGTCTAAAGAAACGGACTGAAAAGATACTGACAGATCGTATGGAAGATATTGAATAAAACTATATAATAATAATAATAATAATAATAATAATAATAATAATAATAATAATAATACAATCAACTCTGCACAGCAATAAAGGAACAGGTTAATGTTAAACTTGTGCACTTCCCTCTAACTCAGAAATACATCCCAGATTATCTTGCTCAACATGTTATATACCTGAACTTTCATGTTCAAACAAGCCATATCAGCCAAACAAACAAAACATTTTCACTTTCATTTTTTACCACAGATGTTATGTGAGAGTGTGGCACCCTCCACTGTGTCTGAACTGCAACAGGTGAGAAAATCTCTGCATTCAATGCAGCTCTCTGACTGTGCCACTAAAATGTCAGTTGCTGCACACAGAGCATGGTGCACTGGAATCTAAACTCAAGCTGAGCTCACATCTGAGTACTGAGCAGGAGGAACTTTCAGTGCCAACCTTATGTATTGTACATGTTCACAATGCAGTTAAATATCTGTGGTGCAGAAGTGTGTGTAAGGCTAAAGTGTGCTCAACACCAGCGCCACCAACGCCTTCTTGGACTGCGCTGAACACACTGAAGAGACAGAACTGAAGAAGTCCTTTGGATGAGGGACGAAACGTCTTCCAGTATCTTCAACCAAGTCCAGTTGCCCTTGACTTTAACCTTCGTTGGATAACTATGACCTGGATGACTGAGAATCTTCACAGACAACACCAGAAATAATCTGTAGAGGAAGAGAAAGTTCTCAGCTACACGATAGGCAAGTGTATTTAGCTTTAGTCCGTTGCTCAGACAGTCAGCAGCAGTCAGAGGTTACAGCTCTCTGCATCCCTAATTCCTGTGTTTCATTTATGAATAACAGTAAAAAATATAAATATAAAAAATGTAGCAACATATGATTGGATCTAACTATTTTTCACAAGAGAAAGATATAAATGACTAAGTTGAATAAATCTCTTTTATTGTGTGGTGTCTGGATCTATCTGCGTATGAACTTGAGGTATTAAGTTCCTCTGTAAGTCTTTGAAACATATTGATTACACTGACATCTGAACTTCACCCACCAGCAACCTATATGTAATTCAGTGCATTCTCATCTCAGTGCTGACCGACGTTTTAAGACAGCGTGAAATTGTGTCAGATGTCTTTTATGAAGGCTATATGCCAAATAATAGTTATACAATATTATATTTGATATATTATATAGTAATTTAATAAAACCCATGACTATTGTAAAATATCTAAACTTTCCAACAAGCAGCAGTTTCAACTAACACTGCGGTTGTAACCACCTCTGTTTACACATTCATATCGTCTAAGAATGTCAGACACTGTGTTTTGTTTTAAATGCTGCAGACGCTGCTGATAATTTGAGCCTCTGCCTCGACACAAACCACAGCACAAAACCACGGACAGAAATGGGTAAGATGGGCCCCTCAGCGCCTTCAGCCTGCAGCCCCCCACAGGACCAAAGTAGCATTCTCACATGTTCATATGACGGTTTAACACGCCACAGTATAATGTCATGTTGTAGATGCTGATTTGTGTCTGTTTTTCAGAGAAGGATGAACACTTGCACCTTGCATGCTCTCCAAAATGGTAGCCATGTTCTTTTAATGATTTTGGACCATGACATAAATTAAATTAATTTGTCAAGATAACAGCACATTTACAACATTACTGAAAGAGTTTATTTGAACTCTGGAGGATTCACTTCTTTAGTTTGTTTCATTTAGTCACATCCTAGTTATTACAAAAACATGGTCACGCAGCCACATTGTTCGCAGCTTTATGGACACCAGGAATAAAAAATGTCTGCGGCTGAGACGATTTCATCTGTTTCAATATTTCCAATATCTGGAGCTTCCAGCTTCACAGTGACAGCAGCTCTCTCAGCAGCTACAGACCCACCGTTAGCAGATCAGGAACCCCAGTATGCTTCCATAGAGGACGTACGGCAGAGAGAACCACTGGCCTTTCATATTTCTTTGATCAATGTGTCTAAATATTTTTATGAGATCTTTGTATATAAACACATTAGGCCAGGCAAGGCAGAGAGGGTAAGTTGATACTGCAGAAAAAAAGTTTTATATGTGCTGCCCCCTAGTGTTAGGTACAAAACATAGTAAACAATGTTGTACACGTGACCTTTATCAAGTGTAGAAGCTGTGGACAGAACATGTAGAAACAATCAGATAGCATTAAGCGCAGCATTAGTAGCCTTAGTAGGGGCAGGTTGGCACCATTGATATTTTCTGCAGTCCATTGTAGTCTGTCCCTGTCCTGTTTGGTGGCAGATTCAAACCAGACAGTGTTTGATGTGCAGAGAGCAGACTGAATCCTGGTTGTGTAGATGTGGATCAGCAGTTCCAGACAGGTTGAGCTTCTTGAGCTGGTGCAGGAAGTACATCCTCTGCTGGGCCTTCTTGATGATGGTGTTGAGTATGGTGCTCTAACTTTGCCCCCTCATCCAATCCATCATTCCTTCATAATTTCTACTCCACTTTCTCCATCAGCAGCACGTTTTATAGTCTAAGCCTAACACTAAAAGACACAGAACGCATTTTTCCACCCACGATCTGTTATCACGGCACTTGTGGGTTTGTTAATGATGCAGCCTGTCAAACAACTGAAACAAACATCTGCACCCTGTATTCAGCGCTTTACCTGGTCCGTGCTTGTAAAGTATCCAGTTTTTGTGTTTTTGTTAGAGTGAAGTCTGTGCGAGGTAACACATGCACATGTAAGACGACCACTGCTCACCCCCCCACCCCCATCTGCTATCAGATGCACTAATCGATGAGGAGACAAGCCTGAGCTGTGTTAGGTGAGGGATTCCCTACAAGGTTAACGTAAACATTACCACAGTTGAGCGCTGGCAGGGACCTGGCGGTTTTTAACGGCTGAAATGCGGCAACGGGTGCTCTATATGGATTGCAACTGCACAACACTTGCAGTTTGTCTCCATATCTATCTTTTCCTTGAGTTGAGAGATGATCCAAATAAAATTTAACAGCTTTTGCGGCGTCTCTACGAGGGAGTCGCGACTTGGTCTGTTGTTGTGCCCTCCAGGTCACTGCAAATGTCACGTGACTGAAAACTATGAATAGTTATGTATTGTAACTCCATGTTCCATGAGTATAGGTGCAGCCCTGTAAGCAGTGGGCCTCATTGGACCTTGGTTCTCAGTGTTGAAGAAAAGGCACCATGGGAGGCGAAGGCTAGGTCTCACCATTGTATTTTTACAAGGTGCAGACGTAGGAGAGGTCCACACTGTGGGTGGGCATAAACAAGTTTTATCAGTGCCGCGCATGTACATAAACCCAACAGTGATGGCCTTAGAGGGCTGCGCCTATACTCATAGAATATGGAGTGACAATACGTAATTATCGTTCTGTAATTTGCTGCCCTCTAATCCCCACACGTTGTGACTTACCAACATTCAGTTGGACAAAAGTTCCCTTCTGTATTGAGGGAATGGAGCATTTATATTTCTCTCCTAAAGAGATTTTTCTTTGAAGATTTTCAAGGACATGTTTCCATTAATCAATTCATCCAAAAACAGTGTCATGCGGTAAAAATAATATAGATTTTGACTCTGCTGTTACAGCCTTCCATGGATGTTCTCCTGATCTAAACAAGGTTTGGTCCACACTTATAAAGCTGCTGTTGGCAGGTTCAAGTTAACATGGCGGAAAGACATCATCACCTGCCAGGTATCCTGGCAGCAGTTGCTACCGTCAACCATTTTTGGAAGCAAACAATATCACATAACCATAATCCTGAACACAGAATATGATATTCCTTGATCACAACAACTTATGGTCTACAAAATGCATTATTTAAAAATCACTACATCTTTGCCAAGCTGACATTTACTACTGGACAGGACAAGTCTTATGAGGATGGTAACAGTTTGGAAAACTGAAGCACTGAAGGCAATGAGCCATGATTTACAGTACACTCCATCCTTCAGGTGAAACAGAAGTTGTGTAAAAAGAAAAACAAAATGCTGTAAAATGGAGGAACAAAATGTCTGTCATCAATGACACAATGGGTAACATTACAACATAAAGCTCATATAAATACTAGAGCTCTGTCTGGGACCTGTTTACAGTGTGCTGTCTGTGTTTTCTCTGCAGGCAATCAAGGAGATTGAGAGCACCTGGCCAGTGAGCCCAACCTATTTAGTCCTGCTCACCCAGACGGTGCTTGCGCCTTCAACACCGCTCTGCCACATTGTTTCTTTGTTTTGTTCTGTTTTAATACATCTCTGTTAGTTATTGTTACACCTGAGTGGCATCCTCCTTCTTTGTTGCGGCCGGAGTTGTAACAATACAAAGAACAAATACGTAGGACAAATATACAGACAGTACACAGTCACCTAAAGTATTATTAGGAACACCATACTAATACTGTGTTTGACCCCCTTTCGCCTTCAGAACTGCCTTAATTCTACGTGGCATTGATTCAACAAGGTGCTGAAAGCATTCTTTAGAAATGTTGGCCTATATTGATAGGATAGCATCTTGCAGTTGATGGAGATTTACGGGATGCACATCCAGGGCACGAAGCTCCCGTTCCACCACATACCAAAGATGCTCTATTGGGTTGAGATCTGGTGACTGTGGGGGCCATTTTAGTACAGTGAACTCATTGTCATGTTCAAGAAACCAATTTGAAATGATTCGAGCTTTGTGACATAAACCCTGCATTATCCTGCTGGAGGTAGCCATCAGAGGATGGGTACATGGTGGCCATAAAGGGATGGACATGGTCAGAAACAATGCTCAGGTAGGCCGTGGCATTTAAACGATGCCCAATTGGCACTAAGGGGCCTAAAGTGTGCCAAGAAAACATCACCCACACCATTACACCACCACCACCAGCCTGCACAGTGGTAACAAGGCATGATGGATCCATGTTCTCATTCTGTTTACGCCAAATTCTGACTCTACCATCTGAATGTCTCAACAGAAATCGAGACTCATCAGACCAGACAACATTTTTCCAGTCTTCAACTGTCCAATTTTGGTGAGCTCTTGCAAATTGTAGCCTCTTTTTCCTATTTGTAGTGGAGATGAGTGGTACCCGGTGGGGTCTTCTGCTGTTGTAGCCCATCCGCCTCAAGGTTGTGCGTGTTGTGGCTTCACAAATGCTTTGCTGCATACCTCAGTTGTAACGAGTGGTTATTTCAGTCAAAGTTGCTTCTATCAGCTTGAATCAGTCGGCCCGTTCTCCTCTGACCTCTAGCATCAACAAGCATTTTCGCCCACAGGACTGCCACATACTGGATGTTTTTCCCTTTTCACACCATTCTTTGTAAACCCTAGAAATGGTTGTGCATGAAAATCCCAGTAACTGAGCAGATTGTGAAATACTCAGACCGGCCCGTCTGGCACCAACAACCATGCCACACTCAAAATTGCTTAAATCACCTTTCTTTCCCATTCTGACATTCAGTTTGGAGTTCAGGAGATTGTCTTGACCAGGACCACACCCCTAAATGCATTGAAGCAACTGCCATGTGATTGGTTGATTAGATAATTGCATTAATGAGAAATTGAACAGGTGTTCCTAATAATCCTTTAGGTGAGTGTAGATACTCAGATATCAGATATAGAAGCAATTGCTTCTGTACTCTCTTTCTGGAGATCTGGATGATAAATGTTTACTCCATGTGTCCATGGGAGATACTGGACTAACACAGAGTCCTGTTCCCAATAAAGAAGAGGTTAATTGAAGATGGATCACTTCAATCAGCTGTGCTATTTTTATACTGTCTAATTCACAAGCAGTCAGGCACACCGCTAGCACTCACAGGCACACGCAAGCGCATACAAAACACACACATAGGCACACATCACACACAAGGATACAACACAAACACACACACACATACATACACACACTAGCCTATACAACATCCAATAGTTGAATGATGACCACACTTAAGCTCACCTCTTGAAATGTATGCGGATTTGGTTCAAGGGAAAAGAGAATAAACATTTTTAACCACCTAAAGAATCTACAAGCACGTTAGTATCTTACTACTGGAGACTCATTTAAACTCACCTCACCACAGTTTTCTCACATGTACTCAGCCTGTTATAACTCCAAACAAAGAGGGGTCACCATTAGTGATAAAAAGTAAAAACACATTTCAGTCATAATACCACTACTATAGACCCAGAGGGTCAATATTATAGATAACATTTCAATTCAAAATACTCATTTATGCTTCTGTAATATATGGCCCGAATGTTGATGACAACTCCTTTTTGACTGCTTTTTTCACCTCACTCTCTGCTCACTCAGACACAGCTCTTATAATAGGAGGGGACTTCAACCTGGTATGTAATCCAGCAGTTGACAGGCTCTGTAAGGCAGGCAGTCAGTGTATTTGGAAATCAACAGACGCCCTTAAACAATACATGAGCAATTTTGGTCTCTGCGATGTTTGGTGTTCTAACCACCCCACTCTCAGAGAATACCTTCTTCTCACCAGTCCACCACTCATGTTCTCGCCTTGACTATTTTAGTGGTTAGAAGCTCAATTATGACAGACATCTCAGACACTCAGATTCACCCTGTCACTATCAGTGATCATGCACCGGTTTCTATCGATCTGTACATCATTACTTAAAGACCTAGATTTTATTAGTTATTTCAAAAAGGAGTGGCCAATGTTTATGGAAACTAATGACCTGCAAGGAATCTCACGGTGTGTTCTGAGAGGTAAAATAATCTCCTTTTCAGCATACACAACAAAGAAAGAGAGATGAACAGAACTCTGGACTTACCTGTTTCAATGGCTGAACTCCACGAAGCCCCTTCACGTTATGTCGAATGGCCCGTGGTGTAGTCTACGTGATTTGCAGATAGGCCTATACGCTGTGTACCTACTAGAAAAGGTCAAGGATTTCCGTATACCCACTTAAAATAGCAAGATGATACGTAACAATATTGTGTTGTGACCGCACTCCTAACTTGCTGAGTTAGATAGTGATTAACACTGAACATTAGAAAATCAGTATACTCATACTCATTTACAATGGGGACGCTGGGGACATGTCCTCACCACTTTTTGAAAGGATTTGTTAAAAATGTTGAAAAACAAACAAATGTAAGTGCTATGAGAAAGTTTTTTTGTCAAAATAAGAAACCATGCAATGCAATGTAAAAACAGATATGCATTGTCCAAAAAAACAATTTGCTGATTACTGCATTATATTCCATTATATTTTTATATTCTGAATTGTCACCTGCGACCTGAATTTTGTGCTCCGCTTGATGAAAATAAAGACATTTATTTGTGCAGAAAATGTCTCCAGAATGCAGGAAATTAATTGTTAAATGCCCAAAATCTTATGGGGGAGGACCCCCAGAACCCCCAATATTTCTGTTATATTATTATTATTGTCTTGTTCTTATGACCCCAATATTCTGGAGACCTGGGGGCAAGGGGCCTTGGGCTTCTGGGCAGCGAGGTGTGTGCTTGGGCCTGGGTTCCGTGGTCCCCTCCTCACGCCTGCCCACACCTGAGGAGTTTCCTCTTAGCCCTGAAACCTGCCTTATTTTCCTCTTCTGAACTATCTGCTCGTCTGCATTTGGGTTTGAGACAGATACCTGACACCAGTAGCCACACAGATTGTTAGAGAGAACTGGCTTTATACACCCATTTGTCTCTGGCTCCCCCCTGTTAGTCTGTACAAAGTAAGAAAAATATATAAAAATGGGCACCCTTACTGGTTAAATTAATAAAAGTCATCAAGGATGGGTAGTTGAGTGAGTGTGACAAACCACTGCTGTGTTAATGCCACAGTGAGTGTGGCCCCGGGTTTTGCATCAACATCAGAAATAAACTTAACAGGAAGAGGAAGTTTTCATCTACAATACACTTCAGCTGTAGTTCAGTCTGATGCTCAGTCAGCAGCGAGACAAAATGGAGGCTACAGCTCTCTGCTTCAGACTGAGTGAGTACTGAGTCTCGGGTTTCTCTTTTTATATATATGTCTGAACATCAAAGCATATGACTGATGTACAGCTTCGCTCCTTTGTTTATCCAGTAATGCTTGAATTCATTCTGCTGGAGTCACGAGCTCAGAATCGTTATACTCAAAGTGGTGAGCAACAAAGAGAAAATACTCTTTTTAATTTTTTTGTTACTTAATTCTCTCCATCTACAGCATCACGGTAGGTTTACCTTAACCAATTACATATGTCTACAGTTTTCATAAATTAATCTGATCTCAAATTTGAAGTTAAAGTTAAATTCAGGTTAAATTTAATTAATTAATGCTACATGTGAATACCTGAAAGTGTCTTGCAAAAATACTAGCTGCATCTGCCACTTAGATGAGGTACTTTGATTTTTTTTTATTTAGTCCCATTTGTCACAGACATCATTATTTCCCAATTTTGGATGTTTAATCTGAGACACTTTTTCTCAGTTTCAGATGCAGTTTTTCTTCGTATCACTCCAGACAGACTGCAGCACTTTGAATATGAGTCTGTTTCTTTTCATTGTGAGGGGACTGATGGTTCCACTCAATTGAAAGGGATCAGGAACACTGAGGAATTTAAGCCGGTATGTGACATTAAGAGGACGCCAACGGGGTCCTCCTGCACTATTGATAAGAGCTATTCAGGAGACAGTGGAGAATACTGGTGTGAGACTGATGGAGGAGAGAGAAGCAACAGTGCCAACATCACTATTGTTGGTATGTTTATTATATTTCTAAAGTCACTTGATACCCATTTTAAACTGGTAACTACCTGATGTGTTTCACACAGAATGTTCAGTATAAACCTTAACTGATAAAACTCAGTGGTCCACTTTATACTTTAAATGTATAATTTGTATTCAACTTACTTTTTGCATGCAAAATGTGCAGGGCAATATTCGGGAATGCTCGCTTCCCATTTGTACTGATGCTTTGGGCTGCTGTTGAAGGTTTATGTGGTCGATCTTTGTCTCCTAGAAACATATTTTATACTAAATTGTTTTCACAGTTGCGTTGTGCTGACAAACTAATCACTGATTCAAAAATTTTTGAATTACTGGGATGGTCAGGGTGATGGGTCTGCAAAGCTCAGGACTTTGACTGCAGCAAGTCCAGTCTGTGGTTACATTCAGGCAACAAAAGCACTTTAATTTTAGGGAAACATTGTGGTGTAAATTAAATATTCATTATCACGTTGTGTTTCTTGATTTAAGTCGTTGAGGAAATTTTTTCTATTTAACAAACACCACGAGCTTTCCCTAACATTTATCTATAAGTGCTGGAGTGCCTAAACATACCCATAAAAAGTTTAATGATGCTGTAGTCGCTATAATCAGATATTTTCGTTATTGTATTGCGAGTTTGGATATTTTACAATGCAAACCAAATACATAATAGGTGAACCTTTTACTGATGGGTTTAGTGTAGGGGTGGACTGGTAATCTAGCATACCAAGCAAATGCCCGGTCAATATAACATTAATTATTTATTTAAATAACTATAAAAAAATGGACCAATGATAGGCCCGTAGAGTACAGACATAAACCCATTGATTCCTGTTCTTTACTGAGATGGGGCTGGCCCAATTTGTTCTCTTACCTCCATCCCCTATCCCTCTGCCCTCTACTTCTTGCGGGCCAAAAAAACAAATAAAATCTTCAAACGGCTGCTGCAAAATATGCCATCCGTCCATTTTTTTATAGTTATAAATAAATAATTAATGTTATATTAACCGGGCATTTGCGTGGTAAAGCATCATTAAACTTTTTATGGTTATGTTTAGGCACTCCAACACTTATAGAGAAATGTTAGGGAAAGCTCGTGGTGTTGGTTAAATAGAAAAAATTTCCATCAATGTGTGCCATTGATAATAATATAATGGTAAGATCATAAAATGACACTGTCACCCTATCTGGGGATCACTCACTGTCAAACAGCACCGCACCATAAGCTAATTGACATTGTTTTTGTAGCATGCACAGTTCCCTAAGGCAGTCTCAACTTCGGCCAACTGTGCTAATGGCTGAGTAGGTAACGTTTTGTCAGCATGGCTTGCATGGCGTTGGCTAATCACACGCTGCTGTGAAAATGACTTGTACTTATTGTGTACGGCCACCTCTGATCACCAGTGAGTCAGTACACTTGTCCACGGCACTTACAACTCAGCTTCATAGTGGTTTGGTGCCATTTTACAGTAGGTGCACATCTTTAAGAGGACTGCAAGGGTGGTGTATTAGTCAAGAGTGTCCAACAGATTGTCTTGAGTTGCCTGGGCCAAAAATGTTATTATTATTATTATCAATGCAGTGATGAATGACTCTACAAGTGTAGCATCTCTGGAGCTGGAGAATCACCAGAAAGCTGCCATACTGTCAGTAAATACAATAGAGGAGAAGGCATGTTGCGTGAACCCACTTTTAAAGAAACCTGGTTTAGATCCCTCCCTCCCACAAAATTTTAGACCAATTTCAAAACTGCCTTTTACTGCAAAGATTCTAGAAAGAATTGTGTCCAAACAGCTACTCACTGTGCTGGAAAATAACAAATTATTTGAAAAGTTTCAGTCTGGTTTTAGGAAGTACCACAGCACTGAGACTGCCCTGCTTAAAGTCACCAATGACCTTTTAATGTCTGCTGATGAAGGTATGTGCTCAGTCCTTGTACTCCTGGACCTTAGCGCTGCTTTTGACACCATTGATCACAACATCATGTTAGACAGACTGAGGCACTGGGTGGGGATCTCTGGTACTGCCCTAGAATGGTTTCATCCTACCTGTCAAATAGGAGTTTTGCGTGTCTGTAAACAACTATGTATCTTCATTCTGTCCAGTTAAATATGGTGTGCCTCAGGGTCGGTCTTAGGACCCATTTTGTTTTCCTTGTATCTGCTTCCCCTTGGATATATTATCCATAAACATGGCATTTCTTTTTATTTTGCTGATGACACACAAATATACTTGCCCTCAGATCCACAGACCCTGGAATGCTGAGTTCACTTAACAACTGCCTTTGTGAAGTTAAAAAATGGATGTCAAATAATTTCCTCCAGCTGAACTCAGACAAAACAGAAATCCTGGTCATCGGGTCCCAGCAGATGGCAAATCAAATACTGCCATCTGCTGGTTCCCTAGTAAATCACATTAAGCCTGTGGCAAAGAACCTTGGTGTTTGGTTTGATAGTAATTTAAATTTCGAGCAGCACACCACAAAGCTTGTTCAATCATGTTTTTATCAACTTAGAAATATTGCTAAAATTCGATCTATGTTAACTTTTAAGGACACCGAGACCATTTTACACGCCTTCATCTCATCACGCCTGGATTATTGCAACAGCCTTTTCACCTGTTTAACCCAAAAATCTATTGATCGACTCCAGACTGTCCAGAACTCAGCTGCCAGGCTTTTAACCAGAACAAAGAAATATGACCACATTACTCCTATTTTAGCTTCATTACACTGGCTCCCAGTATGTTTTAGAATTGACTTTAAAATTCTATTGATCACTTTTAAAGCTCTTCATGGCCTCTCGCCTTGTTACATTTCTGACCTTTAGTCCCATACGCACCAGCACGTACCTTGAGATCCTCGGGCAGAGGTCTGTTGTCTGTTCCAGAGTCTCGACTGAAAACTAAAGGGGACAGAGCGTTTGCTGTCAGGGCCCCGAGGCTCTGGAACAGCCTGCCCGAGGAAATCTGGTCGGCTGAGTCAGTGAACTCTTTTAAGTCCCTTCTTAAAACATACTTTTATAGGAGAGCTTTTTCCGATCTTATTTGACTTTATTTTATCCCTTTATTTTATTGTATTTTACTAATTTTATATTAAATTTTCATGCTCTTATCTTTTTTTTGTATTATTCTTTACACTTGTTAAAGCACTTTGTAACTTGTTTTGAAAAGTGCTCTACAATAAGGATTATTATTATTATATTATTATGTTAATCTTCTTGTATTGCTTTTAGAAAGTCAACTCCAATTATGAGTGGCGCCATTTCCATACCCTGCAGGGACACAACTTCCAGACTTTCAGACATATCATTCAGTACACTGCTGGATGTATGATGGGATATGCCAATATAAATAATTAACCACTGACTCCAAGTTGGTATGGTATAAATTAAATGTTTTAATGGTGTTGTTCAGGTGGTTCTGTGATCCTGGAGAGTCCTGTCCTTCCGGTTAAAGAGGGAGACGCTGTGACTCTGCGCTGTAGAAAAAAGGAAACTTCCTTTGACCTCAAAGCTGATTTCTATAAAGATGGCCACCTCATCAGAAACAGCTCCTCAGTAGAGATGACCATCCACAGTGTTACCAAGTCTGATGAAGGACTCTACAAGTGCAGAATCTCTGGAGCTGGAGAATCAGCAGAGAGCCAACTCACTGTGATAAACAACATTTTCATGAAACAAAATGAAGAAGGTATTTGATTCGATGTTTTTTATTAAATCTCGGTAGATTGTACTATCAACCCTTAATGTCAAGCCACACCATTTAGTGGCACCACCGGGCAGAATTTAGTTTATTTTTAGTTCATTTGCATCAGTGGCCTTATTTCAAAAGTGCAGGTAGGGCTGGACGATATGGCCAAAAATGTTATCATGAGAAAAAGTTTCATATCTTTAGATTTTCCTGAATGAAAGTTGAAGAAATTTGATGATTAATTGTAGTAAACTCTTCTTTAGGGTCAGCACTTAAGGCCAAACAGTGGATCACTTCACAAATCAGAGGTAGAACATTAAAACCATTTATGATAAAAATCTTTGTCAAAAATATGCATGAATAAAATTAAGTAAAAGAAAATTTTCAGACCTTTTTCCTCAACAAAATGGACATCTTAGTAAAAAGAAAATGAAGTCCTAATTTGTGTATGATTCAAGTGAATAAAATCAGACATGTATTGAATATTTATTGAACATTGGTTATATTGTTATTGAAAAAAAAATACCGCAATAATTATTGTTATTGTTTTTTGTAATAATTAATTAATAATTAATTA